AGACAATTATCGCTGCTGAGCATATTAAGAATACTAATTCCTATACCAAACAAATACCTGCCCCCTCCATCCGCCAGGCAAATGGAATAGCAATCCGGTCAGCTTGAATTTCTCTCACCAGTTTATGGAAAGCATTTCATTCTCTGCTTTATCCATTGGAAGAGTTCTTGGTCAAAGGAATAACCTAAAAATGTATTTCTTGTGAAACAAAATCTGAATAATTGATAGTAGTTGAATACCTGTCTTTCAATTTCAACAGCAGATGCAGCAAGCCTCCGTTCCAACATTAGCCTGTTGATTTCACAAGTTTCTGCCTTGGTATCAAATTCATTGCCTTTTTAAAATTTTAAACTGGGTCGTTGGGCTAAAAAATGGAAAATGTCTCTACCTTAGTCTTAAGTGGAAAAGATTTTCATAGATTAAAACGCACCTGGGAAATAAATAGTACAAGCTTTAGAAGTGCGATATCAATCATCCACAAACTTTGTCTATGAATCAATGAACTCATAACAAATAATATTTAAGGGCTTGCAATTATATGGCACTTCATCTAATCTCATGGCACTACGAAATCCAAAAATGAAGAAATAAACCACAATTCAGATTTCAAGAGAAAACATAGGGACTCCAAAGCATAAACAAGAAAGGACTAATAAGAACTCATAATTTCTCAACATGAAGACTGAAAATACAAAAATAACCATAATATCTGATCAATTTCAAAACGCAAGAAAATATCTAAACATTTGGGGGGAAATTTTGTACGTTCAAGAAGAGAATTGATTTGTTTGAAATGAACATTGTTCCACAACAGTACTTTATTTTCCTTTAGCACACCTATGGTGTTCTATCCATTGATGAATAGATGGATGATAAAATTTAGAGCTTGTTTGGGAAAGATTAAAATTCAATTAAAATTGAAAATATAGCCGTTATTGGGTCCCACTCGTCTAATAAAAGTCAACTCCAACATCTATATTTTCAATTTTAATCTGATTTTAATCCTTCCCAAACAAGCTCTTAATAATTGATAATATGATTGAAAATGAGATGTTTTGATGTGTGCATAAGTGTGTGAAGGATAATCGGTTTGTACATACCTTTGTGTTCGTAAGTGTAGGATTGTTTTCAGCTGTGTTCGTTGAAGCAAATATCCACAGCAATCTTTTGTCTGTATAAATCCATGGCTGTTGCAGAAACTGATTCTATTGGATAACTCAGAACGAAGCATTCTATGTATTTGAGTAAAAACACTCCACAGTTGGGTCTACGGAAAAAATTGTTTAAGATTAAATTTGATTAGTATGTTGAACGTACAATTATATTAAATAGGGAATGAAATGTTATAGTATATAATGAATAATTTAAATACTTACCCATTATTTATGGAATGTTGATACGGTATGATGTGTAGCTTCATTTCTTTCTTTGTATTTTTCTTTAGGTAGTGTCTGCAGGCTACGAACTTCGGAAGCATTAATAACATTGTAGTTATATCGATAACTGCATTCGAATGTGCCTTTATTTGCTCTGGTGTATGAACATTCTGACTAAAGTCGTATACATAAATTTTCCATTCAGGAATGTTCACATTAAATAGATACCATGTGTTCCCTGGGTATGAACATGAAATTAAAAGGCACTTGCATTGTATCCATGGATGACCATTTATTGGCAAATTTTCATTCAAGTAGTTTCATAAGATGGGTAAATTTGCTTCATCTTTTATGACGCATGGGTCCCAAATCTGTACTTGCACCATCATATGACGAGTACACCCGTTTTCATAGTTGAAATCTAGAATTGCATATTCGTTTGAAATAGTTGTAGGATTGTTGTTCATGCGTTGACGCAATAATTGTAATTCCAAATCAAGAGCCTAATAAAATAAATTGATGTAAATTACATATATTGCATATGAAATTAAATGCATTATGGTAAATGAATTTTACTAACCGCAGTGGTTATAGGTTGGGTTGTGTCCATAATAGCTTCTATCATCTCCTTTGTGTACATACTGGCAGGTTCATTATTCCAAGATGCGCTATAGAAGAAAATATTATTACATTCGACATGAATGAAATGAAGTCAATAATGTGTAAAAGAACTGTTGGAAAATTCGAAATTGGT